TCCTGCCTCAGCCTCCCAAGTAGCTGGAACCACAGGTGCCCGCCACAACACCTGGCTATTTTTTTGGTTACAGCCATCATTGTTGTTTGGTGGGCCCAGGCTGGATTCGAACCCGCCACCTTAGGTGTATGTGGCTGGCGCCTTAGCCACTTGAGCCACAGGTGCCGAGCCCCTTCGGGAGGTTCTATACCCCTTTTTTTCCCCTCTGGGGGGCGGGTGATGACAAGAGTGGTGTGGTAGGGAGCTGGTGGCTTTTTCAGAGGCTTGGAAGGAATTGAGTTCTTTTTCTACTCTGTTGTCCCCTCCCCAGGAAGCTCGCCAAGAACTTGAAGTGCTGACTCAGGGCCCCAAAATAACCCCTGTGATTTTAGTTTTAAGGGGTCCTTGACCCTCCTGAATTTGGGTGCAAATATTATGTTGGTGAGTTTCCCGACTTCAGAGTCTGATAGGGGTTTCTCTTTCGTTCCTTTGTTACAGTGTTTTTAGTAAGGTCACTAATCAATAAACATTTGTCTAGTACCTTCTCTGGGCCAGAGAGTGAAACCATTCATGGTGCAGAATCAAAACTCTTGCCTTCACACAGTTCAGGCCATGGCCAGTTCCCAGACAAGCATCCTGTGCCGCTGGCATTGGTCAGCCCTGGCTCAGGTGCTGGGGGTGGCTGGGGGGGGCAGTGGGACAGGGCGCTGAGGCATTGACCCCCCGGTCAGGGGTCTGTAACGAGGACGTGGCCACTGAGCTTCGTCCTGCACATCTCCCTGCGCCTCTCTTTCAGGATGAGCGTGCAAACCATCCGAAACGTGTTCAGCGTCGAAACTGGGTATCGGCTCTCAGATGACCAAATAGTCAACCATTTTCCAAACCACTATGAACTGACCCGCAAGGATCTGATGGTGAAGAATATTAAAAGATACAGAAAGGAGCTGGAGAAAGAAGGGAGCCCTCTGGCAGAAAAAGATGAAAATGGAAAATACCTCTACCTGGGTTTGTGCCTCTCTCCCTGGCCTCATGTTTTTAGTTGTGAATGTGCCATGTAGGGCACTTGTTTCATTCCAGGCAGCTCCCAAAATTGGGGGGGAGCCCACAGGGCTCAAATTTATTATTATTTTATTATTATTATTATTTTTTGAGACAGAGCCTCCAGCTATCCGTCTGGGTAGAGTGCTGTGGCATCATAGCTCACAGCAACCTCCAACTCCTGGGCTCAGGCGAGTCTCCTGCCTCAGCCTCCAAGTAGGGGGGACCACAGGCGCCCGCCACAATGCCCAGCT